TGATCGACTATGTGAAAGACTACAACGTGAGATTTCTCAAATGCGCCGTAGGTTAGCTCGTGATATGCAACTATACATAGTTAAGAAGGATGCCCAGAAGAACAGAACAGAACCAAATGTTGTGGCTATCAAGGGTATCATGGAGGATCCTGAACTTGTCTCTAACGCTGAGCTTTTGGATTATTCAGACTCTGAGATTGCCGATTTAAGTGCGAATTAGGTGTTTATGTCTATACATCAGCAATATTAGGTCATACATTAATATGTAATGTCTGTGTTAGACTAAGTGTTTCCATAATGAGTTTGTCAGATTGTCTGCCTAATATTTGTCTGTCTAACTGTTATGTTTATGTATTGTGTGTTTAGTTCAGGGTGTCCAGGATGTATGTATTGTGTGTTCAGTTCATGGTGTCCAGAATGTATTTTTGTGGGAGACTTATGTCTGTACTACTTATGTAACTGAAAACTGTTAAATTTGCAACTTCAGTTATGTTGTTTTCATGCCTGTATGAGTATTTAGTAAATTAGTGATTTCGTATATTATGTATTAAGTTTTATTACAAAAATGTTGACAAAATTTATTTTAGGAGAAATACACATTCTCTTAACTTGTTCATCTTCTCAATCGTGACAACCCAAAAATGTAACCATTATTCATTGAATATAACAAATAACGTTCTCATTCTTACAAAAAATACACTACCAATTGAATAAAACAAATAATCTTTCCATTCATTCATTGATTGCACGACATCAGTCTTATGAAATAAGCGAAACCAATTGAATCACAATAACATCAACTCCAACCCAATATTTACATTACATAAGTTCCTGTTCGTAATCAGAATTCAAATTACATACAAGTTACATTACATAGCAAAAAACGAAAAAAGTACCATTTGTATGTAAAAAATACATTACCAAAATTTGAGGTCTTTCTCTTCTTCTTTCTTGCTGCAGCTCTTGCGGTGGCCTTCGTCTTCTTGGCCTACTTCGCGGTGCTCTTTGCGTCTCACCCTTCGTCGTTGTTCGTCGAACTGCGTAGTGTGTGGGTGTGCTTCGGACTGTAGAGCATGCATATCACCTTCGAACCCAAAACAAAGACGAAAAAAATAAATAAATAATGAAAACGGCTAGAAAACGGTTTTACTAAACCGGTTTTCTGAATTACATTATCACCTTCTAACCCAAAACAAAGACAAAAGAAAAAAAAATATATTTAAATGAAAACGGCTTTAGTAAAGCCAAAATAAATTTCTGAATAACACCTCGTAACCCAAAACAAAAAAAAGAAAATTCTACATGAAAACGGTTTTAGTAAAGTCAAAAGAAATTTCTGAATTACATTATCACCTTCTAACCCAAAACAAAGACAAAAGGAAAAACAAAAAAAAAAATTACATGAAAACGGCTTTAGTAAAGCCAAAAAAAATTTCTGAATTACACCTTCTAACCCACAACAAAGACAAAAGAAAAAAAAAAAAATTTAACATGAGAACGGCTTTAGTAAAGTTAAAAAAAATTTATGAATTACATTATCACCAAAACAATGACAACAGAAAAAAAAAATAAAAAAAATAAAATTTAAATGAACAATAAAAGCGTGGTTGCAATCCACGCTTCCTGTGTTTAACAGTAAAAGCGTGATTGTGAATCACGCTTTATTAAGAAAAGAAATATGCACAGTGAAAGCGTAGTTTAGAACCACGTTTTCTTCAGAATACAAAATTTAATTATAAGCACAGTAAAAGCGTGGTTTGAAACCACGTTTTCTGAAAAAAACAAATTTTGGTTAAAAGCGTGCTTTTTAACCACGTTTTATGTATAAATGAAATTTCCTTAAAAGCGTGATTTGTAACTATGCTTTCTTAATTAAAAGCGTGGTTTGTAACCACGCTTTTATTATTTCACAAATTTTCCATGGGAGGGATCTGGAAACAGTGAAAGCGTGATTTGTAATAGCACTTTAGCCTAGTTTGGGAATTCCGTCCAAATTAGGCCTAGTTCGAGAATTAAGTTGCTATTTTGACTTAATTTGGGAAAAGCCTCAACAATATGGGTTGTGAACTTGCACTTGAGAGAGATTTCGCATTCATTGCCACATCGCTGAGCAAAGATCAGGCCTGATCCTGAGATTTTCAGAGCTTAAAATTGATGATCAAGTAATAAATATCACTAAATTATTTGGAGTCTTTTACATATATTTTTTTTATTCAACGAAATTTTTTTCGAAGGTAAAGAATAAAAAATTTGTGTCAAAATTACAAAAAATACTTAGCATTATATTACAATAACTAATAAATATCACTTGATCCAGGCTCTTTTTGTATTTTTAGAAACAAATAAATCAATCACACTTGCTCTAAATTCTTAAGAAATTCGTTAGTGCGCCCTTTTAATTTTGAATGGGCTTTTTAATTTTTTAATTAGTCAATTTATTTTACGTTACTTTGGGTCTTTTTTAATTTTGTTTAGACTTAAAACATACATAATATATTACGCTAAACTATAATAGAAGGGGATCTTTTTTTGGGTCTATTTTAAAGAGCCTAAGCCATGACTTGGTGGGCCTATACCTAGGGCCGGCTTTGGTTGCTTACATTTATATATCTAGTTCCATGTAATTCTTGTTTTTTTTTAAAAAAAAAAAAAAATATAAAATTACAATTATATATAAATAAACTATCAAAATAGGAGAGAACCTAAAAAAGATATTTGAAGTAAATTAGTTTTATACGCAAATGAAACCGATCTCTTAATGAGCCTCAATGAGTGCCTAAACTGTTGTCCCTTTAGAATTCAAGGCCACCGTTGTTCATAAGATCCGAAAGAAAGGAGTGAAACAGAAATACAATTTTATTCCAATTTTTTTTTTAAAAAAATAAAATGTAAAAAAGTAAAATCCAAATTCATTGGACCTTAGAAAGCTATGTAGCCTATAGGCACAAACTACAATTTGTTCATATTACAATCCGTGATCAAATTTTTTTTTTATCCCATTATAAACTCAAATTGCTAGATATAAAGAAGAAGACAAAGAAAGAAGAGAAAATGGAGCCAAGCCATATAGAGGCAGCAAAACAAAACTAGAACTTGCCACGTAATTTGTACATGCAGTGCACTGAAACTCACCAACTATTACAACCACATTTTTGTTTATTTTTTGAGAAAATTATTCATTACATTATCATTGATCAAAGTGAGTCAAATCAACTATATTTACTTTATTTTTAACGTTTTAAGTTTATAATTCAAAATTTCTCAATTATTACTTTCTTTTTAGAATCTATTTCTTTAGATCGACTCTATTTATCTTATTTTTTAACATTTTTATCTTAACAAGTTGAGTTGATAATTCAAAAATTCTCCATTATTACTCTTTGATTAGTGATTTTTTAGGACCCATGTCTTCATTTGTATGTAAATCCACACCATATACATATTAGGGGATCCATTTTCTGTCCCTTGTTTTTTTTTGTAAATTTGTTTTCATTAGTATGACGTCATGTGATAGAAACTTTGATTAATGTGATGGAAAAAGAATTGAAGACCAAGACAAGAGGGAAGAGGACAGTGACATTCAGCTGGGTCTAAAGTGACCTCATTTCCAAAAGATAACCAAGACAAAGCTTTGGGGGGTTACAAACTTCATCATACAATCTCCTCACTCTCTAGTCAAAAGTGATGTTAGTGAAAATCTTGTAACCCATCACTATTACTTTCTCTCTTCATCTTCTTCACAATTTTGTAACGCAACTTGAAATATTTTCTATCAAATAATTTCTTATTAGAAGATCATACTCAGGATTTGAAATGTGCCTATGATATTCTAGACTAATAAAGTTCCAAATTGAAATTGTTTCAATAAGACACAAACTAACAAGGGGAGCAATTTGAGCCTATTTTTAAGGTACCAAAAATAAGAAAATGCTATTAGTTCTAAATTTCCTATCAAATAAATAATCAAATGTCTCACATGAGTGTGGAGTTTACAAAATTATAGACTCCATATCCGTATGAGATATTTAATCATTTATTTAATAGAAAATTTGATATTTTTACCATTACCCAAAATAATGAACGGGTTAGACCTTGTATTATCCTATCCACCAAAATTTGAATAGCTCAGTTTCACTTGTTTTATTATCAGTGCTTTTATTAATTCGAAAGAACCACCAACCACCTCTTGAGCTGGAAATTTGAAAATACTGAGTAATTATTTGTTTTTTTACTAATTTTTAAAGTCACATGTCCAGCTGCATGCAACTCTACCCCACGCGTCCATCTTGGGTAAGCCTTTTCGTTCATTTCTTCTTTATTTTAATTTACTTTTTATTAATTTTATTACGAAAAAATCAAGTCAACGCGAAATAAAAGTTTGCTGAAAATTTGTTAATACGATCCACTTTTGATGAATCCTACATTTTGTGTTCGGTATCCACATGTCGGTAAACCTTTCAATCCCTTTCGTCTTTATTTTAAATCAATTTTTTATCAGTTGGTTGTTGAACACATAAACCAAAAACAGAATACACTAAATTCTATAAAAATTGTCCAAAAAATTCTCCTTTAAAAAATTCGATAAAATTATAAATACACCCTTGAGATTTACTTGAATTACAAATTATTTTCTGTAATTTTAAAAATTGCATTATGCCCCTAAGGTTTCTAACAAATAGGTCCTTTTGTTAATAAATCGTCAAGTTAATTAACAGTTTTTAATAATGTTAAAATTTTATTTCAATTAATAATTTAATTATTGTATAGGTAAACATTTAGAAATTTCACTTTTACAATTAATTTTGTTAAATAAAAAATTCTGACAAGAAAATATTTGTAATTTTTTAAACCATATAGGATAATTTATATTTTAAATAAATCTCAAGAGATGTATTTATAATTTCTCCTAAAAAAATCTTATTCATCTATATATATTCTGTGTGATATATTTTTGTGTTCATGCACTTACTCTCGCCTTATTTATACGTGACATGAGAGAATTTAAGACACATCAGAGAGGACAGTAATTGAAACCAATGTACACAGCTTTTGGGGTTGTTACAAACTCATATCACTCTCTCCATTCAAAAACCAATGTACATGAAAATCTTCATCTTCTTCATCTCCATCTTCTTCTTCTTCGCTCTCTCTCATTCTCTTCCTCTCTCCACCACATCACGATGGATCGTTGACGCCCCATCAGGGCACCGTGTCAAACTAATGTGCGTGAACTGGCCTGGACACCTGCACGCCATGGTAGCCGAAGGCCTACACAAAAAACCACTCAAACACATCGCGGCTTTCGTAGCTTCAAACGGGTTCAACTGCGTGCGACTCACGTGGGCAACATACATGTTCACGAGGGATAACTATACAAACATCACAGTCTCGGAGTCTCTTGATTCATGGGGGTTGAAAGAGGCCATGGCAGGGATGGCTGAGAATAACCCCGAGTTGTTGAAGATGAGACTGAATGAAGCACAGAGAGCTGTGGTTGATGAGCTTGGAAAACATGAAATCATGGTGGTTTTGGATAATCATGTTAGTTTGCCTAAATGGTGCTGTGATGAGAATGATGGAAATGGGTTCTTTGGGGATGAGTATTTTGATCCCAGTGAATGGTCGCAAGGCTTGTCCATGGTTGCTAAGGAGTATAAAGGCATACCTACTGTGAGTGAATTCTTTGAAACTGCCTAAATTTTGGTTGGTACTATGTTCATTTTTATTTTTTTATATTATGATAATTGATTCCCCCCGGGGCGTAAGATCCTTTGTAATTTAGCTCAGAAAGTTCAATGTCTTTTCATGATAAAATTTTAGATTATAATTTTTGGGTGTTTATCTTTTCTGAATTGTTATTGTCATTTTGTAGAGAACCATACATTTATACTTTCAGTTTGTTTGAATTGAGTGTTTTGAGAAGATATCAAATTTTTTCTTTATTTTTTTCCCCTCTTTACTAAAAAAAATGTACGGTCATTTTAATTCTCATGAATTGGATGAATACTTAACTTTTGGCATAAATTATACAAAATAATCATTACAACTTATAAGAATTTTAGAGATTAAATGTTTTAGTTTTTAAAAGTGAAAATTTTGTTATAAAAGACATTTAGGGATCAATTTTCATCATCAGAAGAATCGTTATCAAAACGTCGCCCCGAAATGTAAAAAAGAAGGCCTTTAGCGATAAAATTTTGATAATGTCACTAATAAATAGACTTTTAGAGACAAAATAATTTAGTCTCAAAATAATTTATATTTTGAGATAAAAAATTTGGTCCAAAAGGATAATAATTCATTATTAATGTACAATTTTCGTTACTAAAAATATAATAACTGCACTTTTCTCAATAAAAATATTTGGTCACTAAAAAATAATTTTATTCTTAAATTTTGATTTCTAAAATCTTAATATTTTTTGTTGGGTAGTGAATTCACCCTTAAGTTCGAATCTCACAATTTTAAATGCAATACTTAAAAGCTGAATTGTAACTACTAAACAATAGTCCCTTCTTATTTGCATAACAAAATATTTTTTATTTGCACTTTTTTTTTTTTTAAACGAGAGGAATATACTATTTTCTCTGTATCTTTCCTAAATTATCCACACACAAAAAAGAAAGAATATCTTTTGCTTTCTCCTTTCATTTCTCAACAAATCACCCTATTTGCTTTTTGGACTTGATTTCTCTCCAATCACTCATCTCAATTGGAGGATGTTGTTCGTGTCATAAGATTAAACATCTAATTTCGATTATCAAATCATTTATTTTGTATACTTACATATATATTATTGAGTTTTGCAACCTAATTATTAATTTTCATTTGCGAATATCCATGTATGTGTAAACATGCATCTATAGGTAACCCAACCAGCAAAAGAGAGCAATCATTAGTTCATTAATTTCATATTTCTTTTAATATTGAAAACAGTTTGGTTGCTTTCATGAAGTTGCTTTCATTCATACTTAAATCATGTTTGTAGTTTGAATAATGATGTGCAAATATGATGTAACATTTATCATAGACTCATATTTCAATTTTGAAAATTTCATTATTCTATGAATTAATAATTTTTTATAAAATTTATTGGTTTATATAATAGTTCTTATACCTGCACTGAAATCAATCACATAATCGGACACAACTTTTATACATGAATAAATATGGACTCATAAAAAGGTAAGACTCATCTCATATAAAAAAGCTAAATTCGATTATGACATTTATTTATTTATGTATTCCTAAACTTTTTCGCATTTTGTTTATATAAAGAAATTTCTTATAGTTTACTTTAGGCTCAACAAAGGGGAGAGAAGAAATTCAATGTTTTCCCCCTCTTAAAAAAAATGATAAATACCACCATCAACAACAACTATACATAACATAATTTATAAGAGAGAATTCAAATTTTATTTACTTTTACTCCTTAAAACAGGTGGTGGCTATGAGCATGCGAAACGAGCTACGTGGGCCACGCCAAAACGAGGACGATTGGTACAAGTACATCGAAATGGGCGCAGAAGCGATCCACAAAGAAAACCCAGATGTGCTAGTGATTATCTCTGGGCTTTCATTCGACACCAATCTCAGCTTCTTAAAACAAAAGCCCTTGGGCCTGAACTTGGGCTCCAAGTTGGTCTATGAGGCCCATTGGTACTCATTTGGTGACCCACTAGAGAAGTGGATGCACCAAACAAACCAATACTGTGCAAATGTGACTCAATGGTTCATCGACAAGTCGGGTTTTTTGGTCACGGGTCCCAACCCGGTTCCTCTGTTTTTGAGTGAGTTTGGTTTTGATGAGAGAGGTGCGAATGAGAGAGATAATAGGTATTTTAATTGCTTGTTGGGCCTTTTGGCAGAGAGAGATTTGGACTGGGCTTTGTGGACTTTGCAAGGAAGTTACATGCTTAGGGAAGGCCAAGTTGGGATGGAAGAGGTGTATGGGGTGTTGGATGCTAATTGGGACCAGCTTAGAGATTCAAAAATACAAGAAAAGTTGGGACTTATACAACAGATTGCCCAAGGTTAGTATGGTTCATTTCATTTTAGTTTTCATTTATAATCTAATAAGAAATTTTAGGAAAATGATTTGCAAACGTTATTTTTATACATAAAATTCATTCAAGATGATACTTTAATGACTCTTTTTGCAATCCTGTCCCATAATAATCTGTATACTTTAAGTATGCACTATTTCTTTAATGGAAAAGATGAAACGCAGAGTGGCCATTTGGGAAGAGGAGTAAAAAGCCATGTTTTGTAACATGAGAAAAAAAGCCATGGGCAGTTACAAATGCAACAAAACCATTTGAGAAGCGATAAAAACTCAAACTTGTGAAATTATGTAACTACCCTCATGTTAATAACACACACATGGGTAAAAAAGTAAATTTTCTAAGTTGGGTAAGAGTATTTTGGTTATTTTAATGTGACGTGATACTATAAACAAATATTAAACCAAAATACAAAAAAATAACTTTTTATCAATTTTCCAAATCACTTCCAAAAAGCTAAAAGGCTTGGTAAAAAATTAAAAATTAATTTTTTACCAACTTTCTAAAATACCCCAGATTGATTATTCAATAATATAAGCAAAATCCATACATTTCATTTTCTGGATGCTATTAGGGATACACAATCCTTTGTCCCTTTGTTATTAATATACTACTAGCCATGTAATATTCATGCCCCAAGATTCTCATAGTTTGAAATTTTTAGCACATCATGTGTCATTGAGAATAAAGGGATAGATATTTTGGTACACCAAGTCTTTACCTTCATTCGTTATATGATATGAGATGTTTTGTATTCGAATTTTCCCATCTCTATCCCAAAAAATTCATATCCCCTAAGTTAGTGGTGGAGCGAAGAAAATAAATTAAAAATGGCACTTTTTAATTACAACATTAAAAATATTTATAAAAATATTTTACATAAATTTTTACTATTGACTTCAAGAAAAATTAAAAAAAAAATTCAGTGTGTTTAGTTTGAGTTTTTTGAATTAAGTTTTTTATTTTTTATTTTATTTTGTTTATTTTGTTTTTGTTTTTAGTGAATATTTTTAAAATTTTAAGTATTTTTTTTTATACTTTTTTAGATACATGATGTATCTAAAAAAAATAAAATATTTGTGAAAAAAATATTTTAAAAAATTAATAAATACATAAAAATATGAAAAATGTATTGATTTTTCATATATTTTTTATATTTTTTGTATTTAGTGAATTTTTTAAAGATTTTTTACTTTTTAAGCATATCTATATTAGGTGTGTCTAAAAATTAAAAAATTACTTAAAATATTAAAAAAATTCAATAAAAACAAAAAAATACAAAAAACAAAAACGTACAATTTTTTGAAAAGTATTTTTAGAAAACTCAAACCAAACAAAGTGATATGTTATTTGTAATTAGTGTATCATGGACAACATTAAAAAAAGTCATGGATATAAAGTTTTAAAATAAATTATATAATGATAAAGAAATTTTTTTATACAAAATATGCGTAAAAATTCAATATAATAGTCATACCACGCAATCATTGACATGTGATATTACCAACCAATAATAAAGAAACACATGGAGGTTGAACCCTGCATATTAAATGTAACTTAACAATTCAATAAATTCTATATTTTCATTGAAATTAATTATGTTTGCATATCAATAATGATAGAAATCACCATTATATTGAAATTTTCATAGATAATAATATCGTAATATCTTTATTTTCAATCAAAACAATAATTATTGTTCTTATAATTTTAAAAATATCATTGACATTTCACTCTAAATAATATTTTTATATAAAATATTTTTTTTATGTTTGTAAAAAAAAAAAAAAAATCCAAAACTCATGAGGGGCACCCCTCTGAACCCTCATTCCCTCCGCCCCTGCCCTAAGTCATGTGTTCAGATTACTACATCTCAATTTTTTAAAATAATTCAATAGATATAAATATTTTGAGACAGATAAACTGAAAGATTTAAGAACAGAGAATCCTTGGCTGGGTAGTATTTCTATTTCTTTAAAATTTTCAAGCACATCAATGCAATATTTACCTTCATCATAAGCAAATTATTTACTTTGAGACATTCCTGATTAACTGTGACATTATTGTGTTCCATGAAGATCCAAGTTCAAACAACAATCCAACAAACTATGTAATGTACCATCCCCAAAGTGGCCAATGTGCCCAAGTTGGCAAGGATGACATCTACACAAGCGATTGCCGGAACCCAAGTCAATGGAGCCACGACGGAGATGGAAGTCCGATCAAGCTAAAGGGTACTTCCTGGTGTCTAACAATTTCTGGCAATGGGCTCCCTGTGATTCTCTCCAATGATTGCTCGAGCCATCGGAGTATTTGGGAATTGGTTTCTAGCTCCAAGCTTCATGTAGGTGCCAAAGATGAACAAGGGACATACTTGTGCTTAGAGTGGAGTAGATCTTCCAATTCCTCAGCAATTCTAACAAAGAAGTGTCTTTGCTTGGATGATAATGTTAAAGATGTCCCTAGCTGTGATGATGACCCTCAAATTCAATGGTTTAAGCTTATTCCAACTAATAAAAATTGAAAATTGAGTCGGTTTTAAGACCCTTTTATATTTCTATGTGTGATGGTGTGCAATATGAAATCTTCTGTTCTTACATTTTTCTTTGATGCACTTCAAATTACATCGGCAAATTTTTGTGTCTCAAAATCTCACATGATTTTATAATTAAGAGTACATTAATAAGATAAAAAGATAAAGAAGTTTATGAATGTATTATTGTGATTAGGAAAACAAAACTAATGAGACAACGTATATGGAATGGCTATATCTTGTCTTAAAATTAAACTGTTACTCTAGTGAATAAGACACTATAATGCAATGCTGCATCTTACATGAGTATTTCTTATCTATTTTCTTTTTTATTGATTGTAAAAATATTTATACCTATGTCCTATTGTTAAATAAGATGTTATTTGAAACGACATGAATGATTTCAATGTCGGAGGAGCGTAACAGGCTAATGTTTGATGAAAGTTAAGTTAAATGGTTGTCAATAACAAACAAGTAGTTGTATGTTAACTTCACTATTAATGTATCATTATGAACCTTTGTTTATGAATGTTTACAAGTTGACAATTATAAAAGCTTTTAGTTTTCCACAAGATTAACAGTACTTCTGTTTGATATATAAAACGTCGACGTTGCTAACACGGTACCATATTAATGATATATGATGTCGACAATCAACTTGCAAATTGAGACAATACAGAGAATTTCCAAGAAATCATGAACACTTTTTCTCATTATTTTATATAAAATTGATAATCAAAGTTGTCATTAATTTTTGATAGAAGTGTGATAATTTCATATTGAGTGTGAAAAATATTTAAAATTATATAAAAAATAGAGAATAGTGAATTTAAATTAGAAAAATTCAAAACAATTACACATTGGTGAGGTACATGTGCTCACTTAAATATAATTTTATATAATAAAAAAATACCTTAATATTCACAATTTTTTTAAAAAAGTTCTTACTCTTAATGACAATTTATTTGGTTGTCATCAACATAACACTATTATAATTCATAATATTTGCAATCATGTGTTTACCTGAAAATATATTATGATGATCAACCATCTTAACTGTGAGGATATATTTTATGAGTACCAATACGTAGCCAAGGTGACGCCGATATGTCAGCCGATATGTCAACTGAGGTGCCACGTGTCCTGGTCATGACGTCGATGTGATCTCGGCTAAGCCGAGGTTATCTCCGAAGATATCGGAATCCGATATAAGCGGATAAGGGACAAGAGTCCTAGAATGGGAGAAGACTTCAGTCTGGATAAAGATAAGACTCTTAGAGAGTTTATCCCAATCCTACTGGGAGTCCAAGATTAGCAGTAATCCAAAGTCCATTGAAGCAAGACTTCTATTGGGATTAGGTAAGTGGTGGCTATAAAAGAGAGGCACCCCTATGGGTCTAAGGTACGCAATTTGTATTCTAAATAGTGAGTTAAACACTTTATTTATCTTTGAGAGATAACTGACTTGATCGTTTGAGTACCCCTGGGTGGACGAACCACTGCCGGAATCTTTTCTTTCTGTTGCAGGTCAATCAGGCGCCATCTATTCTGCTAGTACTCTCCAGCTGAATACTAAGTTGGCAGTGTGGTCGAAAATTGATACATACAATTTGGCATCGTCTGTGAGAAAGAAAGGAGAAAAGATGGCCAGTGACAGACATAAGGATAAGGTTGGGGCGAAACCCCTGTTGGGAACGGTAAGCACATTGATCCTAATATGGAGGAAGATGGTTGCAATGAGGAGACTCAGAACCAGAATCACGACAAGAAAGACGTCGGCCAGGATGGCGACGTGCCAAAGAAACCAAATCGAAGCGGATACTACAACGAGGACGACCTCCAGGTATGGAAGGATAGATGCTTGTGGAGGGACGAAGAGGTGAAAGAGATGGCAAACAAGTTGGCAGACCTGCAATCGATCGTCAATTTTATGATACAAAATAATGTCATGCAGCCACCATTCCCATTGCAGGACATGCTGATTCCAGCGGCCAATGCCTAGAAGGGAGGGTAGAAACCAATCCCAATAGCCCCTTAGCACACCAGAAGCGAAAAACACTCTCATCGGCCTTCCAAGGAGGTCGGGCGAGGAGAGTCGAGGAGAGAAGAGTCATGAAGGACACATTACACTAAAGAAGCAGAACCCAGAGAACATCGGCATGTTCAAAGGCACGAGCTGTGCTTCGACACAACTCATGGAGAAAGGTCGAAAAAGGGCCTATAACGAAGCTGAGAGTAGTATGCCGAAAAGACTAAAGTCGGGAGATAGCCGAGCTCCTGGGCGGAGCAAAAAAGACTTGAGAGATTACCTTAAGAGGAAACAACAGAATGCCAATGCCGATGCCGAGGTAACTTCACATGTTAAGCCGAGAACACCATTCTCGGTGGAATTAGACAAATTTGAGGCTCCAAAGAGATTCAGTATGCCGAGGTTCCAAATATACGATGGTAAGTCAGACCCCAACTTTCACGTTGGATTATACCTGAACTCAATGGCATTGTATAGTGGGAATGAGCCGCTGCTCTGTAAGGTGTTCCCCTCATCCTTCGGGAAGATTACGTCAGATTGGTTTCATAAACTGCCAAAGGGAAGTGTGAGGACCTGGAAAGGCCTGGCCGAGATGTTTGTGGCTAGGTTCGTGACAAACAAGCTACATCCATTAAGGGTGGACGCATTGATGGCTCTGAGAATCAGTAAGGATGAAGGCCTTAGGGCCTATGCAAAAAGGTACTATGAAGTGTTTAACCAAATACCCGAGTGCAACCAAGAGGTGGTGGTCGTGTCTTTCAAGAACGGCCTAAAAGACGACTGTCCACTACGAAAATCTTTGGCAAAGATATTGCCAAAAAGCATGGAAGAGCTCATGACCAAAATCGAGAAGTATGCCAGAGCTGAGGAAGACACGTCAGGAACTAAGGAGACAAAGCAAGAGAAACGTAACGGCTTGCCGAAGCGAGGCCGAGGTAACAATATATCCAACAAAGAAGTAGGACTGAGGGCTGCATAGGGAGTCACAACTGTGTTTCGGATCCCAATCCACAAAGTCCTGGACAAAATCCAATCCCAGCCCTATTTCAGAGCACCAGCTAGGGTGCCAGGAGAATTTATGGGAAGAAGCCTTGGTAAGCATTGTGCTTACCATAACGAAGATGGGTATATGACTCAGGGTTGCAAAGCCTTGAAAGCACACCTGGAAGACCTGGTAAGGCAAGGCCATTTAAGGGACCTTGTAGATGAGGCCAGGATAAGGAAAGAACAGACAAGACTGCCTCAGGCACCAACAACTCCGCCTCTCCCAGCATAGCAACCACAGGCAGGAGGACCTCGGGTAATTAATGTAATTCACTCGAAGGTCAACGAAAACGAAATAAGGGGGGAGACCCAGAGGGTAAAACACTTGCAGCACGTCTACCAGGTCGGGAAAAAATGACATCGGGCCGAGGTGTACTAAGGACTAGCAGTGTCTTTTACTGAAGCCGACCTTGAGATGGTCCAACATCCCCACAATGATTCCTTGGTAGTATCCCTCCAGGTCGGGGAATGCCAAGTGAAGCGCATCCTAATCGACCAAGGCAACTCTTGTGACATCATGTACGTCAGGTGTTACAAGGAGCTTGGCCTTTACCTAGACGATATGGAGCAATCCAATGGTCCAATGGTTGGGTTCAATGGAACGCCAACGTGGCCACTGGAAACAACGAGCTTAGAGGTGCAGGCTGGCACTAGGAAGATAAAGACAAAGTTCACCGTAATCGACATGCCCTCCTCTTACAATGCTATCCTGGGAAGGCCATGGTTGCATGCAATGAGGGCTGTTCCCTAAACATTGCATCAACTATTGCGGTTCCCGACAGAGCATGGGATAGAAGAAGTTAGAGGAGATCAGTTGCAGGCAAAGAATTGCTCCATGGCAGAAATGAATCCACCTGCAGCGTACGAGAACCAGAGAGGGCAGAAATCGAAGATGAAGATGTGGAAGTCCTAGAGGACGTCGATAAGGAGCCAACCGGGAAAAGTGAAGAAGCACTGAAGAAAATCCTCGTACAGGAAGGGGATGAAGAACGCTTCTTCTTTCTCGGCTCGGGCTTAGTCGAAGAAGAGGAAAAAGAGTTAGAGGCTTTCCTGAGAGCAAACATTGAAGTGTTTGCCTGGACGCCTTACGAAATGCCTAGCATTGACCCCAAGGTCACTTGTCATAAACTGAACGTTGACAGGTCGGCCAAACCTGTAATCCAACGAGCAAGAAGACCGACATTGATGCATGTCGAAGCAGTGGAGGAAGAAGTAAAAAGACTTCTGGAAGCTAGGGCCATTCGAGAGGTAAACTACCTGACATGGCTATCAAACACAGTAGTGGTGAAGAAAAAGAATAGAAAATGGAGGGTTTGCGTAGACTTCACCAGCCTAAACAAGGCCTATCCCAAAGACAGTTTTCCTTTACCTAAGATTGACCAGCTGGTGGATGCCACATCAGGGCATGGAAGGATGAGTTTCTTGGATGCCTACAAGGGGTACCACCAGATAGCCATGTACACCCCAGATGAAGAGAAGACTGCGTTCATCACCCCAAAAGGGTTGTATTGCTACAAAGTAATGCCTTTTGGGTTGAAAAACACAGGAGCAACTTACCAAAGATTGGTAACCAAGATGTTCAGACGCTTGATTGGTCGAACGGTGGAAGTTTACATCGACGACATAGTCGTGAAGACCAAGGAACCTGAAGGTCATCTGGCCGATCTAAATGCAGTATTTGAAATCCTTAAAACATATCGGCTCCGACTTAATGCATCGAAGTGTGCATTTGGAGTTGGATCTGGTAAGTTCTTAGGGTACTTGGTGACTAGAAAGGGCATTGAGGCCAGCCCATATCAGATCAAGGCCATCCTAGAGTTGAAGAGCCCGACGTCGGCAAAACAGGTACAAATGCTGACTGGAAGGGCCGCAACCCTGAATAGGTTCATAAGCAGAAGCTCAGATAAGTGCAAACCTTTCTTCAACGTAGTGAAGAAAGCCACAGACTTCTTATGGACCGAGGAGTGCGAAGCCGCCTTGGCCGA